GAGGATTACTTCACTGCAACCGAACCTCAATATCAGCCCGGAGACAACCTCTAAACCCAGCCTCCTGGGCCCACCCTGATCTCATCCTCCCTGGGCCGTCTCAAGTGGCCTCGACTCCCTCCAGACCGGAGGCATGTACAGCTTCATGAGTTCACCTGAGCTCCTGTTACTCCCCTGCGGCTCCACACGCACTAGTCGACTGAAGACTGAACCGTTTGCACAGACTTTGAGGGGTGTAAACACGAGCGAGCTGGGGAGGCGAACAGGGGGAATTGTGGGTAAAGTTGGAAGTGGAGGACGTGGAAAGTTGTGGCCATAACCATTATAATTATATGAAATGATGCCTGTATTCAGTGTAAATACGAGATGCTTGTTTAAGGTTTATTTTTTAGTTTGTTTTCATTCAGGGTTTTTGTTTTGTTATCCCCGCTCATCTTTTTTGTGTTGCTTTGCAAAGAAGCAGTTTTGGCCGCGTTGAGGAACCCGTGGAACGAGTGTTGAATTTGAGAATGTTTGTGGTTTGTTCATTTTCTCCTCCGCTGACGAGATCATGTTCCAAATGGAGGAATAAAAATTCAAAGTCTTTATTATTCTAGTGGTTTTACCTGCAGAGGAAATTGGTTTCTCACAATTTCTTTAATTTATTTTTTGATTGTTTTTGCTTAAGATACTAAATTGAATTGACATCCTCTCCAAATTATTAGATGTTAACCTAATGTAACAAAGAATTATTTTACACATTGTACATTTTTGTGTTTCTAGCCAAATGTTAAAGACTGCCATACATCAGCATATCTCCACAGAGAAAATGCATTGTAGGCTATTGTCAGAAAAAAAGTAAATTAAAAATTGGACATTTTTGGGGTACAACAGCATGTCACTGGGGCAGTACCCTCAGAAGAACAACTTTGTACCTTATCTACCTCTAAAAGGTGTGTTTTAGTATCTTAAAGTAGTAATATGTACCTTTAAGTTACTACTACTGTTTAGGTCTAAGTAATGTACAAAGTTGTCCTGCTGAGGATACGCTCTTGAATTTGTTCATGATATTTAGACATGACATTATGGTGCCTTGGAAGCCAGTCTGAAACCAGTTTTCAGAAATGTGGTTTAAGTCAAGTCATTGACTGACTGGGCAGCGAGTAAGCAAAGCAGATGTCCTTGGTTTCGGACACAGCCTCATTCAAATCAGATCAGGTTCCAACTGGTCCCTATCCTCATGTGCTGTTCTCCATGTTCTCCATGGAGGACACTTTTAAAATGTATTTGTTTCAATGTATTTTAATTCATCTAGATATGGAACTTATGGAACTGTTTGGATTTGGATCAAGGGAACACTCCAAAGTACCATTTCCCTCGTTGGTTTGTACAGTGCCCATCAGAACGTCTTTAAAACCCCTCACCTGCATTTCATTTGGTTTAACAGTATCGTAAGTGTCAGTAATCACCTCAAAATTGCCATTATCATTTTTTTTAACATGCCATTTTGTTAACATTTCCCATTTGGAAATAAAAATACAATATTTTACAAGCTTTACTCGTCTTTCTTATTACCAGTTAAAGCAGCACTATGTAACTTTTGGCGCACTAGCGGTTAATAAACAGAATTCCAACCGGAGCTACTTCTCTAAGTTTATGTCTATGGCGATTCACGCAAGTATGTGTTACTCCGCAGCGCTGACGACCCGACCAGGCTACAATAGTCCAAATATAAGTACTTATTATAAGTGTACCGTAGTGATTCGGAATAAGACAAAAACGCAGTTTGGAAGATGAATTCATGATGTACTCGCTCATTATATACATTTTGCAAATTTCGAACACAGAAAAAGTTACATAGTGCTGCTTTAAATCCCTCTTTAAAAGCTAAGGCGGTTTCAAGCTGCATATTTATTTCTCTGCTTATTTTAACAGGTTGCAGCATTCGTTCGCACTATGCCCCTAAGCAAGTAAAGTTTCTGTGTTGAGCTTATTTTTGCCATTGGTAGTGTACTGAACTCAGCAGAAAATAAGTAAAAAAAATCATTTTACACTTATTTATCAACACAAGCTTTTACAATACAGTCGTTTTAAAAAAAATATATATATATATAAAATAGTGGCACATAATACTTATTACTCATTTTGTCCTATAAGATTTTGGTCGTATGGTAGTATTTTTATTAGAGAGCTGCAAGAAAGTTATTCCATAATGGGGGAAGCAGAATGTCTGACTGAACCTATGCTGCACTCAGAAGTACTGGTGCCCTCAGGATAACAACTCCAAAGAAAAGAAACAAAAGTGTTAACATTGGCGTAGATGCCACTCAATGCTGGTTAGTAAATATACAAAAGATCTGACTAAAGCTGTGGTCACATTTACTATTGCTTGGCGAAGGAAAGACCAGATGTGACTATAAAAGGTAACACTTTATTTCACAGTGTCTTTGTTACATGTTACATACTGTTATATTAATAACAATAAATTATGCATGATTACTGTACATGCAACTACAATAGCTGGGTTTGTCCCTTTTTAACCCAGCGCTGGGTTATATTTAACCCAGCATTTTTTAGAGTGTGGAGCAGAAGACATGGCAGAGCAGAACAAGCAGGTAAAGCTGGACAAACAGAAGACCGTGGTGGACGCAGGAGATAGTTAGCAGATTCTGCCAGAGCCAGTGAAGAGGAAGAGCCAAATGAAGCTGATCTCTTCACAGACTGCCTTCCATTCATCCTCTGCATGAACTCAGGATCATTGCTAACTTGATTCAGCTTAAAAATTTAAGATGGCAACTGATTTTTCATAGTGTGTGATGGAGCCGAAACAAATCTTGACTCTACACACACGTATATATTTATATTATTTATATGACAGATAAACATATTTAATATATAAACATAACATATTTTTCTTAAATATATACATGTATGTGTGTATTTATAGACATAATAAATATATACAGTACACACACACATATATTTTCTAAACAAAAACGTTTATTTGGATGCGATTAATCGCGATTAATCGTTTGACAGCACTCATTTTAAGAAACAAAACAAACAAATCTTGGTGTGTGTGGTGGCTCGTCAAGCGAATGTGATCTTCCTGAAACAGTTGAACATATTTTAATAAAATGTAAAGGATATGACAACGAAAGAGTACAATCCTGGTAGGTGGCGGTAAATGCACCTAAAGCTGGTTTGCCAAGCGCCACAAAACGTCAAAGAAGAAGAAGAAGAAGAATCTTGGGCCGTGTCCGAAATCGCCCCCTATACCCTATACCTCGAGTGCACTCATTCAATCCCACAATGCACTGCAAAAACGAGTGTACAACTGGTGCACGCTCAACGGCTAGAGAATGCCCAAATTGCCCATAATGCACCGTGAGAGTCACGCGCCGAATGAATTCCCGCATCTCGCCAGAAGATGGCGCCCGCAGCTGATTAATCAATCCGTTCATTTTTACAAAGCGCTCATCCATGGCGTACAGCATAATGTACAACACGGGTATAAATTCATTGTAAATTGATTATTAAATTGTTTGATTAGGGTTTATACATAATTTCCGTGACAGAGTTTAAGATAAATCCTTTAATCTTACTACTGGAGCTGCTAGTTTGCTAGTTTCAAATGATTAATAAACAGCAAGCACAAACTATGCAAAAGCGGCATTCCTTCCGGTGCACTCAGTGTCCGAATTCACTACTCGTTTTCATTCACTCCTTCTAGTGAACTGAATTAGTGACCTAATGTAGGGAATAGTGAATGAGGGTATAGGGGGCGATTTCGGACACAGCCTTGGTGTTTCGACCGGAGAAGCGGCCAGTCGGGGGCAGTAAAGAGCGGTCAATGCCTATAGCACCTTTAACAGAAGAAGAGGAATGTCCTCTGTGTAGAGATTTCAAACATGGGCTCAAGAGTAACACGCCTGATGAGAAACTTTAATATAGAGAATCGCGCTCACCGAGAAATAAGCAAGACCAAACCTAAAGCAGCACCTCGACATCCAGCATCCAGCAGTAGTCCACGAGAAGACATCGCCGGTGAGAACTGCTAGACTACTGACATTACATCATGAAGATCCTTCTAGTGGTGAAGGATCATACCTCGTGGCTTTTAGAAGAAATATGACTTGTGAATATGATTTATTACAGCCATGAGGGGAAATACATAACCGCTCAAAGACTGCCAGACAGATTTCGTTCTTTAACTTAACATTTTAATGCAAATTCTATATATGTGGTGTTAATGAACCTGCTTATTGCACAAACATAAATATGTGAACACCTCCTATTAATAAAGGGGTTTGAATAGTACAGTGACAACCAATCTTAATGCTTGTCATACAATGACAGCCCTTAACTGTAACGGAAGTATTTTTCCTTTCTATTTATGTCCTTGAATATCGAGACAAAATATCTGAACTATTATTAATAGTAATGTTATGTAAGGAAAATAAATTGATCGTGCTACATTCTATCGAAGTGAAGACTGTCATAATTGTAAAACAATATGACAACTGGTTTCTTTTACAAGAAAACACTATAAATAAGCACACTGTATACCATAACGCAGTTTCATTTGTATTCTTGTCTTTTCATATTGTTCATCTACTTTAGTTTTTTTGATCACAGTGCTGTTGAAAAAACCAGCATATGCTGGTTAGGTATGTTTTGGTCATGTGCTGGTCCTAAACTGGTCCGACCAGCTTAAGACCAGCACATGACCAGCTAAGGACCAGCATAAACCAGCAAAGGACCAGCTTAAACCAGCAAAGGTCCATCTTAAACCAGCATCCCAGCTTCAAAACATACCTAACCAGCATATGCTGTTTTTTTCAACAGGGAGGCCATGTATGACACATTGATTTTAAACTTGTTTTCAATGCCTTCATTACCTTGCACTCTGATGTGGATCCATAGATAGCTGTGCCAAAAGCCAGACCCGTATAAAGAGCATGTCTACATACTTTTGGCAATGAATTATATCCATAATCAAACTGCATGTTACACACTTTTTGCATGATCTGACATAGGTGTTTCTATGGCAGAAGAGATTCACCAGAAGAATGATCCACTGCTGTCGATGCTCAAGGACGTTTATGTGGAGTCTAAAGATCCCGATCCTCAGGTTTGAATTTTAGGATCTTTTGACCTACAGACCAATTAAAGTCAGCAGCAATTACTATGGTATCAACAAGACGCATTGATTCATATTTATTAAGTTGCCTTTTAATAAATTGCGTCAAATTTCACCAACAATTGCAAAGCAAAATTTCTTAAAATGGATCAACAGCATAGTTATAAAGAAAAAGAAAAAACACAGGGCACTTTGGAATAGAAACAGTGGGTCAAGTCAAGTCACCTTTATTTATATAGCGCTTTTAACAATACAGATTGCGTCAAAGCAACTGAACAGCATTAATTAGGAAAATAGTGTGTCAATAATGCAAACAATTCATAACATTTACAAAGTATAGACTTAGGCTACAACAGTAAAATATGTTATGCGCTGGGGAAAACATATCTCAATTGCATTAAACAACACAAGCAGTCGGTCAGCACCTGCAGCAGCCGCCCACGTGCTTCTGAGCCTCTTTGAAGCGTTTCATTCAAATTGCTCTTGTGCTTCAGACAACTTAGGTCGTGCATTTTTCCCCACTTCAGTTTCCTCTGTGGCCATTTTCAAATGCTTCGTACTGTGAAATTTACAGGCCAAATTGAAAAGTACCTGCATTTGGTGCTTGGTGGGTGTTAATTTTGTACCCTGAATGTCACAACTCGATATTTAGTGAGAATGATAGAAGAATTGTTTAAAATAGCATGGTGTCACTAGTTAATGTCATGTCAAATAGAAAATATAAAAATATTGCTGTATAGAAGTATTGTATGTCTGAATTATTACTGTGGCTCAACCAATCATAATCCTGGACCAGAACTATTCATTGATATGAACTCAAAGCATTGTCAATCTGCACTGAATGCGTGCAGAAAATATGACATTTATGAATTCTTTTTATGCAGTAGACAGTAGGTCTCTACGATGTTTAGGTGAAATGCGAAGGGTGTGCATAGATGCGATCCAAGTCTTTTTGCACTTGATTATCCTTTTGAAATGCCACACATAATATGCATGTGCGGCTTACTGCCAGACAGATTGCACTGCAGTAGGTGCTGTAAGAAATCACGCCTGTTCTATTAAATCAATAGACTATGTAAATGGTAAGAAAGAGTCCATGTTTTTTAGACTACTAGGCTTAGAAACACACTGTGTCTATGAACAGTTTTGGGGGTAACGTATTGCAAGTAATGCGAGTTAAGTAAACAGATTACTTTTTTTAAGTAAAGTAACACAAATTACAAGAAAATATCAGAGTTACCTTTTCAAAGTAATGCCAGTTACTTTGTTTTCCCATTTATTGAATGGCAGCTCTCCTGTCCCCATGTTGAGAGCAATTGGGAATAAATGCAGAGGCTTTGTGTGCGCTGTGTGAACATGATGCTTACTGTAGTTCTAGACTAAATGTGAGCATGCATTTACTCACCTCACTTGCACAAAAACAGATTTAGTATTCCTCAAAATGAATAAAAACTGAAATGCAAACTCAGAATATGACGTAAACCTGCAATAATTAAATGTCAATTGAATTTACATTTCCTTCAGCCTGAGGCTTATTCATTTCACTTTGGTGTGAAAGGGCTTTAACATATGCCAAAAATCTAACTTTTTAGTATTAAAAACATACAAGCAAGCCCAGCCCAGATAAGAAAAAGTAATGCAAAAGTAACGTAACGCATTACTTTCCATAAAAAAAAAAAAACTAAGCGATGCATTTTTAGGGAGTAACTCATTATTGTAATGCATTACTTTTAAAAGTAACTTTCCCCAACACTATTAGTGGTGTAGAACCTTCTTCTCATGCGTCCTATTCTTAATGCAATCCAGAATGGTAGCACAGCCAATAGGTTTGTTTGAGCTGCGCCCTCTACTGTACAGACGTGAACTTTCATTTCCTTCAGCCTGAGGCTTATTCGGTTCACTTTGTGAAAAGGTGCGTATAGGACTTTTACGTTTGCCAAATATTTTTTTGTTTACATATTAAAAACAAGCAAGCCCAGCTCAGATGAGAAAAAGTAACAAAATGCATTACTTTTCATAAAAAGTAACTAGGTAATGCAATTAGTTACTTTTTTAAGGGAGCAACACAATATTGTAATGCATTACTTTTAAAATTGACTTTCCCCAACACTATGAATCATTTTGCGTGTTTGGGTGTGCTGTTTTGCTTTAAATTCCGTTTTAAAGGGGTCATATGATGCTGCTAAAAAAGAACATTATTTTGTGTATTTGGTGTAATGAAATGTGTTTATGCGGTTTAAGGTAAAAAAACACATTATTTTCCACATACTGTACATTATTGTTTCTCCTCTATGCCCCGCCTTTCTGAAACACGTCGATTTTTACAAAGCTCATCGTTCTAAAAAAGCGAGGTGTGCTGTGATTGGCCAGATTATAATGACTTATACTGACTGTCTTTTCATGCGTTGTTGCATCGCGCCGCGTAAACATAAAACCATGTCTGCATTTGTGATCGGAGAAACGTCAAACAACAAGCGCTAACGTTACTCTACACTGCTCAAAACTCGCGTCAGTGGCAAATTCTTTAAATATGAAAACATACTTACAGACTGTGAGTCAGAACAGCCGGCATTGTAGGCTACTCTCCCAGGTTCAGGAAACAGTCCTCCGTAAAATGCGTTGCACACATATGAATATTTGGGTTGAACTGTTCTGGAACAGTGTTGTAAATACAACTTAACCACTGATTTCTAGTTGTGTCCTCTTTCGGAAGGCCAAAAAAAGTAGTTTCGCTTTCGCAACAAAACACACAGCATCTTCACGACATGGTGGCGGCAACAACAATACTACAGCGAGAATCAAAGTTACGCCTTTTTTCTTTGCGTGAACATTTGGGCGGCGTTATGCAAATCTTCCCACATCGTGACGTAGACATGTGGGGGCGTGTTTAAACGAGGTGTTTTTGGAGGGCGTGGACGAGTCTTAAAGGGATAGTTCACCCAAAAATTAAAATTCTGTCATTAGCTCTCTGACCCTCCCCTAGACAGCAAGGGTCCTTACACGATCAAGGTCCAGAAACATAGCAAGGAGATCTGTAAAATAATCAGGTGTGACATCAGGGATTCAACCGTAATTTTACGAAGCTACAAGAATACTTTTTGTGCGCAAAAGAAAAAAATAAAACGACTTTATTCAACAATTCGTCTCCTCCGTGTCACAGTAGCGCCATTTTGGAGAGTATCCACTAAACGCGAACAGCGTATGCTATTCTGTGTGCGTTCAGTGGATATTCTCAAAATTGGCGCTACAGGGTGACGCGGAGGAGACGAATTGTTGAATAAAGTCGTTTTTAAAGTCGTTTCATCAAAAATATCTTAATTTGTGTTCAGAAGATGAACAGAGGTCTTACGGGTTTGGAATGACATGAGGGCGAGTAATTAATGACAGAATTTTCATTTTTGGGTGAACTAACCCTTTAACTTTTATAAAGAATATCTCTTTGGGTTTGAGACTTTAGTCTTTGCAACTTTAGGGATCTTATCTATTCACGAACAGCTTGTAACACTTCAAAGAGAAAGGAAAACTTAAAATTGCATCATATGTCCCCTTTAAAAAAGAGGTGGTGTGCACTGCCCTCTACTGGTGTGGCTGACTCTCTGTGCTCTGTGTGCTGCAGGCTGAAACAGTTCCTGGGGTTAAGAAGGTGGAGGAGGAGACGCAGCGCAGGGCGCTGAAGTACAGTCTACCGGGCGAGCCCTATGGTTTCTGTGATGTTACTGATGTTCCCAAAGGCAAACTGTCGCTTGTGGAAGCTTTAACTGCCCTGAACAATCACAAACGCCTACCTAAAACATGGACTCCAGAGAAGCTGGCACAGGAGTACTCTCTGGACCCAAAAGATGCCAAAGCACTGACAGAATTCTTTTTTCCCTTTGACATCAAAATCATTCCACCAAAAACAGAGGAGACTAAACAGATTAAGGATTCTTAGCACATATGAACACTGTCGCATACAGACTCGAGCCGTCTCTGAAACACGCACAGTATCTAGATACATGTGTTTTGACATGTGTTTGTATTGTTTGTTTTTGAAGGGCCTGTCATAATTATTTATTCATTTGCTGTCTCATTTAAAGCATGGCATATCCCAGCATGTATTATAGTAATAACGAAGATAAGGTAATGTAAACGTTACTGGACTGGAAATCTTGTCAGCCAGATCAATTTCTAGTGTAAAACATCAGTACGGATTATAATTTTCATTTAATATGAAGAAACTGGCTCAGGAATGCTGCATTATGTTTATGTGAACACTGCAGTTTGCATCTGTTTTCACTGACAATAAATCAGTTGCCCCATGCATTGGTCATTTTAATCCAGTGTACTGAATATAACGTTATTTTTTATACAGTTACTCTCTGCCATTTTGCTCTTGAATATTTTTCATCAATACTTCTTTGCACTCCCAGTTATCATCAATGTGATGAGTTTTGAATTCATTTTGTGTGATTTGTTGAATTTTTGTGGTTTACTGTGAATTATATAAGGAATATTATGAGAAACTCATTTCTTTTCAGATGTATCATGCCTTAGTTTAATAGGGGAGACATGGGCCAATTGTAGATTTTTGTTCTTTTGATATCTAGAGATGAGAACATAATTTGCGGGCTGTCCCGGATTTACACGCTTGAACCAGCAGATGTCCTCAGCGTAGCATTGGGTTCGGTTCATTAGTTTCAGAAGACCTACTTTCTCTTATCACTATATCAAAACTTTACCGTTCTCTTTCTGTTGTTTATTTCGTTGTGTTTTATATTTCAAACTCACTGCTGACCGCAGTACTACCGCGGTCACTTGATTGATTCGTTTCCATCCCGCAACGAAACGCAGCTGCATCGACATCGATGATTGGCCGAAGTGAAAACTCCAGCTGGCGAATCCTGCATTTTCATTGGTTAACGGTGTGTAAATCAAATCCGGCGCTGAAATTTAATTGGTTTACTTTGAGTGACGCGATACTCGGTGAATGCGGACAGCACGAGCGACGCGGTGTGTTTGGGATGCATTTGCGGAATGAGAAGCGGGTACAAAATGTTTCATGCATTCCTCTCCGTTTAAAATGAGCGTCTGCACTCGACAAAACAGCTATATTTTAAGTCTGTTTAGCTCAGGTTTTTTTTTTTTGTTAGATCATTACGAGGTTAAACATCTGTTTTGCAACGGGGGGTTTCAGGTTGATTTACATCCCCAAAACGGGCAAAACTGATGTTTTTTATTTTATTTTATTTTTTATGTTTTTGACACGTTTAGTTAGTGTTTTTCAACCGAAACCGTGTCAGCCTCTCGAAGAAATAGATTTCACGGATGGACGCATATTTTAGGTAGAAATGTGGGATGTCGGAGCTTCAAACATCTGGCGAGAGAAGGATGTGTATCTGAATCTAAGCTCATAATGATGTGACTGATGCAGCAGCATATATATAAAAAAAAATTTTTTTAAAAAGCCACAGAGGAGAATCAAGGTAAAACACCAGCTTATTTAATTATTGTGTTTAGAAAGCAATATATAAGATAAATATTGTGATGTTCTCTGCACTTTCCTCCATTTTAAATCAGTTGATCCACTTTCAAGGTGAATCTTCCAGATATGTTAGGTTTTGAGGGATATTTATAAATTAAATTTTGAATTAAAAATAAATATTTCTTAATTAAATTATTGCAGGGGGAATTTTCACTGGATAAATATAATATCAGTGCAACAAAAGTTAATTCGTAAGATTTGTAAGAATCTTATAGCTATTTTTCCCCCGTGTTCTGTAACCTGTTCATCTGAGATGAAAGTCTTTGGTCCATAAGTATCTGGAATTCAATGAGCTTTATCATTTAGTATCTTCTTCTAGCCCGGACCTTTTCTATCTGATTATAGAAATGGAGGAATTTTCTAGGTTCCAAGCATCAAACCGTCTTGGACTACTGTTGAGGCCTCTTGAAGTGATTGTGGTTCAGAAGAATGGAAACATTCTCCAAGCACAGATGAAGAGACACTTAATCATTTTATTCCTGTTGCTAGGATCCACAACTATTCAGTATACATGACAGTACCAGGTCGTCTCTGCTGTCACTATGGTTTCGGCATATACTGTACCACTGATAGTCTCTAGTCTACAAGATGCTCTCCACTTCAGTTTGACTTGTGCTTTTAAACAAGCCTGTTAATTTCTATAATGTGAGTCATATGATTTAACCCAGATAAAACAAATGTTGTGGGGACACTTGGTAAAACCTGAATTTTTTGACGTTATGGGGATATTTTTTGTTCCCATGAGGAAAACAGCTTATAAATCATACTAAATTATGTTTTTTGACAACCTACGTGTGCGTGTATGTTCGTGTGTGAAGATAATTATGTATGTGAGTATGCATGCGTGCTTGCATGTGGGTGGGTGAGTATCAGTAGCATTAAAGGGGTCATATGATGCGATTTCAAGTTTTCCTTTCTCTTTGGAGTGTTACAAGCTGACTGTGCAGCAACTCAGAGCACTTTTCATACTCTTTATACTGGCTAAAGCACATTTGTTTCAATTTATGAGAATAGAACACTACCAGTTTTTTAAGAATTCTCTTATGCTCACCAAGCCTGCATTTATTTGATCCAAAGTACAGCAAAAACAGTAAAATTT